ATTGTAAGAACTACTTTTACTCATTTTCAGACAGCACATGCGGATTCCTATTTATTTCGGTCCACGTGCTAACAGTTCTCTGGCTCATCCCAAATGGCTTGCAGAGAATGGTAATCAGGTGGCAAGTGAAAAGCTTTTTCGAGCGCACTGTGAGTCAAGTTGAACAAACTTCTGTCGGTTGGACAGGAATCAAAAAGGGAGTTATATAGATTATTTAATCAAAAGTCAACATTTGAACATTGTTGAGAACCATCAAAGGATAAATATCAGTCTGGTCATAGAGGTGGGCTGCGCACCTGAAATGATGCGGCATGAGAGTGGATCAAACAACGTAGAAGACTGAACTTCCGAAAGCAATTGACAAACCGAGCGAAACTACACCATTGGTGCTAAATTTATGACGTTCACTGAATAACAGTTTGCAGTTTTCAGGCAAGCCCCCGTCACGGGGTCAGTTCAAATTTCAAGCCCCTTCGGAAGATGACAGTAAACCGTCTACTCACTGAATCGCTTGGAAAGTTGATATCACAGTTATGCGTGGGCGAAAGACGAAAGGAGTTAGGGCACTGGTGCCACTTGCAATTTCACATCGTTGACTGGACTGAGTTAATCGTCCTCTATTGGCGGATGAACCCCTGAACAAATGCCTCAGTATTGCCTACGACCTCATTTGATAGAAATGATGGATAACGGGTATCAGTGTACTCCAGGACCCGCTTCATTTCATTTGGAACCCATCAAGTGGATCTACTTGCGCCCTGATTGGTGATGTTCATCCGACGAGGACTTGAGCTCAAGACCGGCCGCTTCAAAAGACGGGGAGTGGAAGTGTCTGACCTAACTCGGTGACCTAACGAATGGCCAGGCTGGAGCCCTACCTAGAACAAAATCCTCCACCAGGTAGCAGGTGATTCCAGCGGAAGAGTCTCAAATAGGATGAAACGCACGTCCTGAATTCTACTGCCAACCACTATCCGCTAATGCTATCAACGTCGGGTTGAAGCTGTGGAGCCCGAGGATAGGAAAAACACCCAGTGGCTGTTCATTTTGAATAAGTTCCCGGCATGAATTTCTGGGAGTTTACTGACTTTAATGTGGGTATGAAACTTGGGCACCGTAGGTGGTAGAATTTAATTCCACATTAGATCCGCTTATTTGGCTTATAGCACGCAGTGATATAGTATTGTTTACTTGATTATGTCTCGAGAATAAATTATGGCTCATAATCACTCCACATCATTTCACTGATATGATCATGAGAAATAATTATGCTCGAAACGTCATCATTTATGCAATGCTATATCACTGTGTGTTATAAATCAAGTTTACTGACTTCCATGAAGTCCTTTCTGTTGAGAAGGGATCCAAAACTCAGACCACCCACGGAGAAGTGCAGGCCATGTCTGATATCCAAGTTCACTACCGCAAGGAGATGCTTCAAGTTTTTGTACTCCATTCTTCGCCATAACTCCGGGTTCTAATTTGACTAGATCTTAGTTCAGTCACACACGTTTAACATGTACGAGGGTAAGAAATAGTTTCAAATTCGAAAGAGAATATTATAAAGCAATTAGTGGTTTGATGGAACTATCTAAATATTTGTTTCAAGCTCATCAACCCCAGATTAGCACGAAACGAATTTGTGTCACAAATATTGAGTGAACGAAGTTTGTGAAGAAAAAGAACAACTAGATCCCTTTCCAATATCTATTTTTCAAGCTACGTGTCACTCAATTTGAACCTGTGAGAAATATTCTACCTTGTGTGGACCAATTCACGTTGATCATGGTTAAATAGAAGTTCACACCCACCTACCCACCCTTGAAACGGGATCGAGTCATTCAAAACATTGAGAAATCCAGCCAGATTCTTGTTTTCTTTCACGCCTTAAATCTACCTGAAAAGAGAAGAACCTCAATAGACACCAGTGGGGGCAAGTCGTCAATGTCTGTCGGAAAGAGGGCAGGCCGAAAAACTGGACCCTGAAGAAACCCACTAGCATATCCCACTTCTCCTGATCAAAAATTGTTCTGCTCAACTTCTTTAAGCAGCCACTTAAAGATGATCTTCACCAACCAAGAGTTCACATATTAGGAGTCAGTTCCAACATCTTAATTAATGGATCGTGGTGTGTGCAAGTCACAAGTCCCTCAAGAGAGATGATGGGGAATGACTTCCATTAAGTTTTACTAGTCACTGATACTGTTCCACCTATCCACTGCCACTAGCCTTTACTAAAATCAGGTTGTCTCGGAGTCAGCGGGTTGATTGAACCGAGTTGTTGCCGCAAGCTTTCACAAGCGAGCGATTCTATTACTCTAGGAGATCTGAATAAAACAATTACTGATGTGAATTGCTCGGGGGCTCCAGGTTGATCTACCTTGGGAATCGGCCCGATGTAACCTTTCTGGTAGAGCCCACGGCCGGCACGTGATTCAGAAGATATTTAAACCACTCTCCCAGGGGATGTGCAGGAAGCAACGCTATAGCACAGGACGTCAGCGTGATGTTTGTGTGACATAGGAGACCAGCCCTCTTGGGAAGTGATGGCTTTCGGTCCATCAGTACACCCTTAGACTAAAGACTGATATTTCCCGTGTACGGCCCACCTAATGATTTTTGTCACTTAATGTCACAGGTGGTGAGCATGATCAGCCAAGACTGCAACAACTTCACTGTCACTGCCAGTCAAACTGCTCTGGTCTAACGGAACGATGTTGCAAAGTGAGCGTTACGGGTATTGATAATGACATGTCATTTAGTTAGAATTCATGCAGTGGCCTAAGGCTCCCTGTTTGCGTGAACCGGTCATAAGTAAGCCAATTTATGATAGTGTTTTGGTGATTTCTGAACACCAACTACACAAAGAAGTCAATGGTGTCTAATCTTCAGTTGTCACACTGACATTTCACCGATAGCTTTCTGTAGCTGCGATTTTCTATAAAATCATTTCATGAAGTCCGATGTAGCACCCCGCAGACTACTGCACATATTCAAATGTCCGGTTATCAATAGCGTTTTCTGCCACGGAAAGCTGCTACAGAATGATGCTGCGTCACGTTTTTCACCTCCACTGCTATTACGAAACAGGGTGGTAATTGAAATGAGTCACTTGCCGTCTGAAATTTTGAGGAAAACTAACATCTCAGCAACTTCATTTATTCGAGGATTATCCATTTTATTTGATCGCCGTAGCCTGGCAACTTTGCCTGCCAAACCTTCATATCCACAGATATATAGTCTAAGTCCCCTACTTCAAACCCTTTCGATGAACGTCACCTTTCTTCGGCAATGTTAAATAAGTCTCCTAATGTGAGAACTGGGCTCAGGTTTAGGGTAGACCGGCTAATAAAGCAGTGCCCGTCTCGCTGCTTTTATCCAGCCGTAGACAATTGGCTGATACCTGTCACCTTTCGTTGCTATCTTACACTTAGGAACCTAGCAGGGTGTATATGAAGTACAATTGACAGACGACGTTTAATGGTTTAAAATGCCTTTAATGTTGATGCTAGTCTTTGCTTTGAGTGGTTGTCAATCTTAATCATCTGTGACATGCTTCGGATTGTCAATTTGAGAAATTCATCGAATATATCAAGAACTCCCGCTGAAGACTACTGTGTTGGATCCACCAGAGATATATATTCTGTATTTCTCGGATTGTCGTGTTAATGATCCTAAAAAAGCCACGCCAGCATCGAACATGAACCTCGTCGGCTTTAGACATTTTGAGTGTTGGATATCTAGCCAACTTCCTAAATTATCTTCTGCTTCGAGATGTTTAGGATTCTTCCCGGTGCGAATTTGACAGACGCAAAGGCCAATCACTAATTGTTCGAAATTATCATATGCCCACGAACACGAGACCAAGGAAGAACACAAAAGCGTAGTTGGATGGAATAGCATATTTGGGTGGCTGTGTCAAGATACCGATGCGTTCCAACTATCTGGCTAGAGAGTCGAATCCGAGCAATGCAACGTAACACGACTGCGTGCCAAATGGCAAGGATGCTTGACCGGGAGCCTTCAGCTTAGCGAGTCCAGTTAAACTATGAAGGTCAGCATCAACTTCGAATGTCGTCGAACCCTGGGCTATTGACTAAGGGAAGTGTGTGACGCTGCAGTCGTGTGGACAACGAAAAATTTTCGGTGTCGTGAGCATTTGAGAACGACAACGTTTGGAGCGAAAGTTCCCCAAGTTTTCTGGATCTGTAATATGAGAAAGCCTGGTCGCTACTAATAGCCTACTGATATACAAATGTGATTTGGCACAGATTTTATTGAGTAGATATCTACGGTTGTGATTTTACAAACTAAGTAACATGAGTTCATTTGGCGAGCCTAATAATAATAAAGACGTCTTCTACGACCATAATATGATTTTCTTCGCTTCTAAGACTAACAGGTTGACGTTCATTGAATTTATTTTCCTATCTACCTTTGCCTAAAGTTTACAAAGCTAATTTAAACTTTAAAAAATGTTCGTAGGAGTTTAGTAGACTGCTGCTGCCCTATCTCGACCAAAGTTTCAGACTTCAAACTTCTGGTTTGCCTGTTGTCAGGCTCAGGTGCACAAAACGTGGTAGTACATTCCAAAACTTGACTGATAAAAAACACCTCCTACTTCTCTCACAAATGACCGTGGTCAAGTTTCTGTTTCCGAAAATCTACCAAGTGAAAGTGTTATATTTGGAGTCTTATTGTTAGGTAACAATTTTGCTAATGTTATTAAGTCAGACAAGCTGTCTTTGTATTCCACTGCGGTGACTTTAGCAGTCAGTTCACTTGACACTTTTGTGACCCAGGTTTAACTATCCTCTGTGTTTGAGATACAGTAAGATACTGCCAATATGAAAACTAGGAATTTGGCTGGGCCATTTGCTTCTAGGCTTACTAAGTTTATCCTGCCTTCCTGGTAGAGTCTATTAATCATTGCATTCTGAACTTTAAAATTACTTGTAAGTTCTTCGTTTTGCCTACGCAACTTTGCATTCTGACCTACAGAAAAGGCGGGGAATTTGGTACTGTTGCACATGGGCGTGAGTTTATTAAATTGGTATCTTACCCCTTTAATTATAGACGGTCCAGCACTTCGTTCTCTTTGAACATATAACTGGTTTTGGATTGTTTCGTGTGAAGGAGTTTGATGAGATAACAAGGAACTTCAAGGCACATGCAAATGCTTTTATCAAGCCTGTTGCATTTGTTCACTTCAAGTCAGTCCAGGAGGCTGTAGAAAATGTACAGTCTGTTGTCGATGGAAGCCTTTCCGATCTTTAAAACAGTTTCTCAGACGAATGTCCCGCTGCTGACTGTGTACTGGGAGTTAGTGATGAAATTATGGGCAAAAGTATACTGTAAGTTTTTATAAATATTCATTTTATGACTCAAAGGTTTGGCTAAGTTTACATGGTAGTACTGGTTAACCTATTTTGAATAACAATATCTCGTGATACCTTGTCAAACAAATAAGTTTCAAGTCTCTTTAATGTTTAGAGCTTATGTGTACTTGTTAACCACAGTCGGCAGCATGTAGGGTATGAAAACCTTTGTGCGAAGATCCGTATGATTCTCAGACATCCATACAGTTTTGCGCTTGTTTAAAAAACGGTAAATATCGTTACGCTCTCAGGAATTGTGAGCGATCTTCTGACACTTAGCACTTAACAAAGGAGTCTAGGTGCAACGTTCAGTGTACTTCAGTTGCGTGCAGCTTTTAACGTAACCTGTCTGATGACGAACCAGCTAACCAATATTCAAAAGCTTATATTTAAACTATGGTTCCAAATGTCGAATATATGTTGACTGCTTATGCTATGAATTTTCAGTAAAAGTTAGTTTTATCAGTTGAAAATTGTAAATACAAGCCTCCTAAACAGTGCCCTATCCCAAATGGTTAAACTGATTATTAAATTGAGTCGTAAAATCGTACAAATTACTAGTTTAAATAATCTTTCTGTAATCAGCACATGAAGATTTTTGTCCTTGTATACTGAAATGGTTCCTATATGGTAGCACTCAACCTGATGCATCGATGCACACGTTAGTTTCCGATGTATGTCACAGCTTCTCAAATCAGCCAACAGTCTTCGCTAGCCAAAACTCTAGCAACTCTGGCCATGGATGTGTGGTGTGTTTGAGACACGTATACAGGATTCAAGTGTGGTTATTCACTTGACCTCGCTCGGTCAATATGGTGAATCCGTAAAATCCATTCTTCGAGTTTCTGGGGACACGATGATCACACAGGTAAAGGTAAAGTGTTGAGTCCCAAGGCAAAGAATGCACTATTCTGGATCGCAATTGGTGGTTGAAATGATCGGCAGGACACTACGAGGAACAGTTCAACTAGTCTCCAACCACTATTCCGTTGCCAACTGTCCAGTCGGACCCTGAATGAAACATCGAGGTAGGACTCCCAACACTTGCAGAAGTCGAGAAAGCCGTAGGTAGTCTGAAACAAGGGAGAGCAGTGGGACTAGAAGGACTAGTTCCAGAAGTAATTAAGACAGTGGTCGTGGATTACTGACCAGGTTAACTGTAGTGCTAACTAGTGTATAAGAGTCAATTATGACCTCTTCTGACTGGTCTCCATTACTGGTTGTCCCAGTTTTAAGCAAAGGTGAAAAGTCCTATTGTGATAACGACAGGGGAATCAGCCTGACGGATATAGCGTTTAAGATCCTAGGTTCAATTATCAAATGTCTGAGTGGAGCTCGGGGACAGCAAACCCGAGAAAACCAGGCAGGCTTCAGACCCGACGATGAGTGTGACGACCAGATATTCACACTCCGCCAGGTTGTGCAATGCGAGCGCATTTGTCTACGCCCGACACGCTGTACTTTTCTCAACCTGAAGGTCGCATTCGACTCCATCGATTGGGAGGTCCTATGGAATTGTCTGTCACTGAAGCGGGTGCCGACTAAGCACATCACTCTGTCTAAGGCTCCATAGTCTAACACGCGTGGGCGTGTTACAGCCGATGGTGAGCTGGGTACACCGAGTCGTGTTCGTCAAGAATATCCATTCTCTCCATTCCTAACCAATTTCGTCATGAACTTACTTATAGAGGTCTTCCTTCTCGTTGTGTGACTTCACGGGGATTATCTTATCACAGGAGAATCTTTGGTAAATCTAGAGTAGGTGGATGGCATGGTCTTGTTAGGTGAAGACGCTGACAAGATACAGAGTTTTCTGTCAATTTAGGGTGTTTCTTGCAACCCAAATGCAAATTGTTGCTCTAGGACTGATCTATCAACTAACAATAAGGAGTGGAAATGTTGATTACGTTGAACACTTCACTTACCTGGGAATTCGGATCAATCTTGTTTAATCATAACCAACGAATCCCTGCATGGATATAAAAGGCTCGATTAACATTCACCAACTTGCACCATCTGTGACGCGCTACAGTTTGCCCGATTTTTCCATATGACTGTGAAATATGTTCATCACAGTGACAAGACATGAGGCAGCTCCTGGTCTTCGGCCACAGTTGCCTTCGTGTGTCGCGGTTTCACCACGTCAGTAATTCTGAAGTCAGGTATAGAGTTTTAGGGAGAATAGGAAAGTCAGTTAGTGAGGCTGTAAACCTTCATCGACTGAAGTGGCTGGAACATGTGTTACGCCTGCCAAGTCGCAGTCTGCCTCGTTGCACAATCTTAGCTGAATTAGATTTAAGTTGGAAAAAGGTGGGGGACAGCCAGACTGAAGCACGACATCAGTGTGTGAAGTAACATGGCTGGGAATCGATCTCAATCTTAGTGGTGCAGATGTATGTATCCACACATTGTCCTCATTTGAATCGTCATACCGAATTTAGTATTTTCTTATTCCTCATCCTCTCTTTTACTGCTTTCTTCTGCTTTTGACCGATTCTTTTTTGCTTCTTTGTCTTTCATTCTATTGCTTTGTTACTTGATGTGCTGATATGAGGTGTGGCGAATTGGATTGTTGCGCAGTAATGCATGGTCTTATGTCGTAAGTGCTGGCGATGCTGGTCTTTATGATAAATGATTTCGTCTCAGTCGCTTTTAACCAACACTTTTAATATGAGATTCAACTGGTTAATCAAAGGTGATATTCAAGCTTTACTGCTCTTTTTTATGTTATACACTAACTTTATTTTAACATGTAGAGATAATTCATGTTTGGTCTTTAATTTCGCCATTTGAAATGCCTCTCTCTTTGAGGATAACTTATGCTGCACGGTTTATGGAGATTCTTCCTGAATTTTGGTTTTTGTTTACCGCAGCCAAGTGCACAACTTTTGTTCGGGGACAAATGTTTTTTTTTAATGATGTTTGTATTATTGATTATAGTTTCTGTGCGCCTGAAATAATTTTAAAACGTGCTCAAGTTCACAGATTGATGATTTATTTCATAGCTATAAAAAATACCAATAAAAGATGAATAAAAAGCCGATGCAAGATCATAATGAAAACATTATGTAGTTGTTACCAAATGTATCTATACTAACTACTAACTGACCGAGCTTTACCTACTATGGCTTGGCCCGACTGGTAGCTGGTACCTGGACTTGTTGGTTGGGCTTGCATATCACAGTGACCGAAACAGCTGCATTGGCGGGAACGCTTGTTCCTTGAAGTCCTACTACACGAGAAAGGTCCTTTGGATAGTAGTAAGACGAAAGCAGTTTACCGTTGTGTAAATTGCTACAGTATGATGGGTGCCCGAGGGTGAAGTCGTACTGCTGGCTGGCTGGAGCGTGACATCAGTAAGGTGCTTCCCTCAGATGACCAACAGTACTATGCTGATACTGTTCTTGTGATGGGAAGGGGGGGGGTAACTAAGTTCAGCCTCAGAAATAACACTTCTTCCTGCCCTATAGTCTTCGAGTGCCGGTTGTATGGACTTTTCGTATCCTGTGTTAGAACAATCGAATTTCATATTGACAATCCTCGCAAGGCTGTGTGTGACAGGCTTCAAGCTGATGTTCTATGGCTTCTATGATCACATAAATCTTTTTCGCTTTTGGGTATCTTTGCAAGCTACTGTGGAATGTGGCAACTTAAACCGATACACTTGTTTGCCAACTGCCTCGGTGATCTTGCGTTTCTATCTGTCATTACAGCATCAACATTCAAGCAGTACTGTTCCCCCTCACTTTAAATGTAGTTTGTAGCGTAGTACGTTGACACCTTTACCTGATTGGCTCTAGTGAATTTTTTATCTGATTGCTGTCTACAAGTGATAGTTTACAAACCACTTGTAGTAATTTTTAACTTCCACTTTTTTGTGTTTTCGGCTTCAGCTTCTTCTTATTGGTCACCTATAAATATGTGAATGTCACAACAGTTATGCTTAAATGCCGGCATGACATTTTATGTAATTTCAACTTGGTACATATTGTGCTAGACTACGAACCACACGTTTTTGAGTGATTATGGTGATAATTAGCCGCCCAGGTGGAAGCAGATGTAGCGAGTTCAAACCCAGCGCCCAGCACTTTAAAATTGACTTCCTAGGTCAATGAACCTCGTCTCCGTACTACAGGGTCCCACACTAATCTTAACTGAGTTACCATAGACATGCAGCTAATGAGCAGCACTAGGAACTGACGATTTATTACTATTTGTTCGTGTCAAATGCGTTGCATACTTTACCAGTCATTAATAAAGGCAGTGTTTTCTGTATTTGATTTCAGTACCCAAATTATTCACTTTTTAGTCTTCAGATGAGTTTATTTTGTTTTACAGTTTGACTTAAATACTCCTATGGATTTAGTTTCAGTACGTCCTTTTCTACCAATAATGACAGCATTTTTATCCTCCCTTTCTTCAATACTCCAGTTCTTATTGCATCAGTTTCCTAGGATAAGTTCTCCCATGATATGTTTTTCCACTGTTTTCGATATTTAAAGGGCTTGTGATTTCGGCTTCGAGTGCATTTGGCTCGGGTCTGTTCGTGAAGTTCTGCGAGTCATCAGAGAAAACTTCGCCCGTTTGACACGTTCACTCATCACACAACCTGGTGCTGCATTATCTTTGTCAGCAACTGTTGGGAAAGCAAGACCGTCAACTAGTGCTGATGAAATAACTCCTGGAAAAGTAGCTGAGTCTCGTGCAAGGGTGGTTGTCAGTCTGGCTCGTGCTCGCCTTCAGCTAGGGATTGGGCAACACTTAGCCGATACTGGTGTTGTAAAAGTGCTGAAACTGATTGATGAATTGGACACTCACTTGACACAATCAACTTCCCGACTGAGAGCTTGCTACAGTGTGCATTTTCCGGAGGTCTGTCGACCCCATTTTGGAAAGAACTTGTGTTTGGACGACATGAAGCTGTTGCAATTGATAGCCTCTTTTCCTCTTCGTTCTTCGATAATTTCAAACTATGCAGCGGGGAGTTTTACATGTATGGATGATGATAAACTAACTACATTGATTGCTACGGCTGCCGAAGATTCCATTGGGGCCGACCTGGGTGAGGAGGACTGTGAGAATCTCAAAAAGTATGCCCAACGTCTAATACAGATGAATCAGGTATGAGCCTTTTTTGAAGTGATCGTTTAATTCTTCTAAAAACATGCTGATTGGTTCTCAAAGTGTAAAACATAGCCGATCTAAATGAGTTATTCTTCGTTAACGTACGTTCAATTGTAGATAAACATGGCGACTTACATTAACGTGGTAATTGAATTATCAATATACCTCCCGTTTAGCTGGATAGCCAAAAGCTGCCGCTGATGTGGTAGAGGGAGTTACTTATCACAATGACTGAAAAACATCCGCTGGTCAAATGCTCGTTCCATGCGAGAAAGGTCTGTTGGATAGTAGTAAGACGAAAGCAGTTACCGTTGTGTAAATTGCTACAGTATGATGGGTGCCCGAGGGTGAAGTCGTACTGCTGGCTGGCTGGAGCGTGACATCAGTAAGGTGCTTCCCTCAGATGACCAACAGTACTATGCTGATACTGTTCTTGTGATGGGAAGGGGGGGGGTAACTAAGTTCAGCCTCAGAAATAACACTTCTTCCTGCCCTATAGTCTTCGAGTGCCGGTTGTATGGACTTTTCGTATCCTGTGTTAGAACATCGAATTTCATATTGACAATCCTCGCAAGGCTGTGTGTGACAGGCTTCAAGCTGATGTTCCTTGGTCTCTGCGATCATAGAAATCTCTTTCAGGTATCTTGTAAGAACGCCTACTATGGTGTGGTAGGCAGAGAAGTTTGAACCGCCCGTCGCGTTTCCATAACCTATCTCCCAACTATGTCTCCTCTCTTCCCTTCATTTTCTTATGCGAATTCTCTGTC